AGTTTTTGTGCTGTGGATTTGGTGGACAGTCTGACTATGAAAATATGTCTCTGTCTCCTGGTTGCTGTAAGGAATCTGGGACTGTATGTCCCATTTCCAACGCCCATTCAAAGGTAAAAAACGATAATTTATGCTCCAACTAGCAAAAAACAGTAACGAGGGAATTGTGAAAATATTTATTTATTTATTTATATCAAATGGCAGGCGTTTTGATGGTTATCATTAGCCCTTTAGTTGGCTTCAGGCTTAACAGAGGGGAAGGAACATCAAAGTGAAAAATATCGAGGGGGGGGGGACAGAAGTGTTTCAGAGATGTAAAAGAGGCAGGCAGACACAAAGGTAGAGAAAAGGTAAGATGAGTACTGTGGAAGTGGTCGAACATGCTTTGCAGTGGGGTCATGGTAGTTTGAAATCAGAAATTAACTGCCCGTTAATAGACTTTTTTGCCGTATGAGCATGCGTTACTCAGGTTGTACCACGTAGAGGTAGGTCTATCTCACACCACACCTTCAATTTAAATTTAATTGAAAGGAACGGATGAGTATATAGCGAAAATTTAGAGCGCCATCAATCTTTACAGACACCACTTCTAAATTTTGCGAAATTTTAACAAACATGAATTTAACGTAGGTGAAACTTACATAAAACTAGAAGTAAATTAGCAAGGGTAGGCAAACTCTAATTTTAATAATGATATATTTAAGACATAACTTAAACAGACGATTTTGAGCAATTTAATATCCTCTGGTCTTTTGGTTTCTGTTCTAGCCATGTCGAAATGCGTTTGTCGAAACATTTCAGCACAGTTTCAAGGACTTTGGTATTAGCCTCGTAATCGCAGTTCTCATTCTTTTGGCTGCCATTGTGAATTCTTTATTGATGATAGCGAAATTGCGTTGCGATGAGGACGAGTATGAAGCAAAATAAGAAAAGAAACGTTGAAAACCACGCCTGAAGCATTGCTCTCAATTCGAACAATATTGATTTTAATCCAATATTTGATATTCTTATTTCTCGTGAAATATATTACTATTTTAAATTCATATTGTCACTAAACTATCATTCTTTATTTGAGTTTTCATTCTTTATTTTAGAAGAGGAAAGCATTGTGGAAAGAGGTAGACACGATTTAGTAACAAATCATGATTTTGTCATTTTTTTGAAAATTAGAGTAAGACAATGATATATTGTTGTTATTTATTTTAGAAGTTATACCTGTCTGGTTTCACCAATTTCACAAATATCGTATCCAGGGTGCTTTTAGAAACCGACCGTTACGTGTTTCGCTATCGTTCCTTTTAGAAAAAAAAAATAGTTCTATTGCTCTCGGCACAGAGTAAAACGCTTTTAAATTTAAACTCTGGAGAAACATCTAGATATGGGTAAACATTGGTTCATTTGGATATGAGGGGAAACAGGGATTTAAGAATGAAACGACGAATTGGTCATAATTTTTAAAGGGAATCGTCAAATTTTTAGTGTCGGCATGTTTAACTTTCCTTGGGATATCAGTTTCATGTGTGGGGTTATGCTCACAATATTTCGACCTCTTTAAACTGCGGATGTGTCTTCGTGGTTGGTCAAGCTACTTCGATATATATCTTGCCTCCTTACAAACAAGAGCAAGAAGAAGTAAAAGATTGATATCATTATACTTTTTGTTGTGTAGTGCAATTCACCCAAGTGAACTTTCTAATTATTAAGCTTATGCTGTATACTTCATTCACTGAAAATATACTTGTGGAAAAAATAATCAAAGCTCATCATCTTTCTTGTAGAATAAGTGCCATTTGAGGGGATAAATAACGTAACTGCCATTAGGAGTTGTGAATATTCAATCATGAAGAATCGTTTAAAGCCAACTTTTAGCATATAGTAATTAGCTAGAAGGCGAATCATTAATAATTCCAAAAAGATTTCTTATACGTATATTATAACTTATATGCACAGATAAGGTAAAATTGTGTTCGAAGTCATGGTAGTTATTTGATTATAACCACATCAATGGGTAGGGCTGATACTGCCTCAAACTACACAATGTTCTTTCTCTTAGTTAGTGCAAAGCCCTCCACAGGTAACATGCTTGACTATAAGTAAAAAATTGGTTAAAGTTTCATGATTGAAATAGAATACCGTTATGTATATTTTATATTTAACAAGTAGAGAAAAAGAGGCCATTAGGATAGCACTATGCCAATTATGTTGCCTGGATACGAAATTCACCAAAGCGGTGATACTTTCGGACTCACAGTCAGCGATAAACTCAATTGGAAGCAGAGAGCCACCCAAAGCAGCTGAGATAAAGGAATGTAGAAAACTCTATCAGCTGCTGAGAGAGAAAAACAAAATAGTGGTCCTACAATGGATTCCTGGTCACTGTGGCATTAATGGCAATGAGCTTTCTGAATCACTCTTGCTAAGAAGGGGACAACGATTTTGCAATGCATGGAAAGGCCGATGTCTTTCCACACAATGAAGGCCTTAATCAGGAGAGAATTCCAGACATCAAGGTGCAACGAACTTAAAGCTCAAACAAAGGAGAAACAGTGGACAGTGGCACTGTCCGATATAGCCGACTGGCCAAGAATCGAAGCCGTTGCTGAGCTTAGACTACGTACTGGACACGATTGCTTGGCAAAACATCTTCACAGATTGGGAGTATGCACTCAACCCACATGCCCCCTATGTAACCTACAGGAGGAAATGGAGGAGATCCACCTGATTCGATGCCCAGGCCTAAAAACAACGACAGAAAGACAGAGATACTGGGAAACAAGAAGACAGCTAATGAACTGCTATTAATTAACTGCTATAAATGTACCCCCCCCCCCCCCCCCCCCACCCTTAGGGGAAGCTGAAGTCAAAGTTTAAGGGCTAATGATAAATTTCACAAAGCCTGCCATTTGAAAAAATATTTAACAAGTATTAAAAAAGTACTGATATTATAAATCAGTCTAATTTTGCTAAGCTAATCTGATAAAATTTTAAAATAAAATGGAAAATACAAATTTTAAGATGCTTTTAACACTATTTTATTTGGACCGGTCATTTTTTCACATAGGAACTATTGCAACTCCATAAAAGAGTACAAATTAAAGTAAAATCGAACTTAAATTTTTGATGTAATTGATAAAATTTTTTATTTTTAGGAAAGCGCTTGTGTATTTTGTTTCTTCATACTAAAAAGCTGCCGATTTCTCAAGCGTTTCGGGCTGTCAAGATTCTTACCAATCCTATTCATTTATTTCAATACATCTTATCTTATGGACTAGAATGCCTGGGTCACTAAAAGCTTCTAATTCTACTAAACGGATTATTGACAAATACAATCTCAGCAAGAGCCACACTAATCTCGCAACGCATTTTGATGAACAGGAGGCTCAAAATAATTTTGCTCTCTTGGATTATTTTGGATTTTATCAGTAATTACCAGAATAAATATTTAATTAAATAAATGATAGTTATTTCATAAAGTAATTTGTGCTTTTCTCATGCGATTTTCTAAATTGATTTCTCAATGCAGTTTTTGGTTTCCTTAAATCGTGTACTGAAAGCAGTTTAAAACTTGCCTCGACTAATTCTTTCATGCTACTAAAAATATGTTTCACCACATATATCATTTTCAAATTTCCCTTTTCAGTCCGGACGGACTCACTCACAGAGAACAGGAAGTTGAACACAAGGTTCGTTGGATCAGCATATTCGATTTGATTAATATAAGGCTTCGAATTCCTAACCGTGTCTGTTATTCATCGCCTTATTTTCCTTTATTTTATCACCTTCTGTGAAAGCAAATCCAATCTAAGTCGTTCCTTTTCTCGTAATCTCATTGGTTACTTTAGCGTATTGGACGCCCTGAGCACATGGCTGTCCAACCCATTCTATTCTCCTTTTCCATTTTCCTGTCTCTATTTCTACATCATGGCAAGATTTCATTTCCTGATCCCCTTTTTTTCTCTATCTATCCAATTCACTGTTTTTTTTCAATTATGGTTCTCATTTGTTCTACTTTATTTTTCAGTATCGCAAAAAGGATGTCAAACGTGTTGATAAATGGATGAAATTTATTCAGAATAATGGATTTGACTCCTTCTACAAAGGCAAACCAAATGAGGAGGTGTGTTGTGATTATTTTTGTTGTTTAAAGAAATTGAGATACTTTTTATTTATTATTATTGTGTCATTTCCGAATTTCGAAGCAAATTTGGTAATGTGATTTGAAATAATCACATTTTTGCACAGTTTTTCCCTTTATTTTGTGCTATAGTTTCGAATTTCTAGTTAAATTTAAGCTACTTACCTTGCATGACCATTCAATGTACATTTTCATTGAATTCTACCTTATTTTTGTACTGTTAGTCTGCAATTTTCTGATTACTACTTTGATCAGCTCAGCGATTTTTTACTTATTTGGAGAAATTCTTTGCCATTTTAGGCGATATTTTGTGAGAATTTGCCTTTTGGGTCTTGTGGCTTCAATTTTTCGCGTGCTTAAAATTTCTCGTGCTATTTTAGGATTCCCCTAATTTAACAACTTCAAATATAATCTATTTCGCCACCATGATATCAATTCGCCATAAAAAAGCATTTGAACTTTTAATTTTTTTATATTTTTATAACTCGGTCAAAATGAGCTAAGGGTGAAAGTGGCAAAACGATTGCTGTGAAATGCGTCAATTTATCAATGAGTATTAAATCAATCGATTTCTTTTTATTTAGTTTTATGCACTATTTTCTTTTTTTTCTACTTATCTGATGGCAAAAAGAATAGAGTTTGCTGGGGTTCGGTTTCGTCTCGGCATAATCAATACCCCGCATGTTTTATCCAAGCCGTCTATCATTGTCGATATTAGGGCTCTTGACATTTCGGCAGTGATTTTTGCCTTAAGCCCTTATAAGTTCCAACATCAGTAGCATGACCACGATTTGTCTGTTTTATTAGCACCTTGTGTTGATTTCAATCTGGTCTTAACCTCTCTCTTACATGAGTCAACTGCGCTTTAGTGCTATCTTGAGGGCAGATATGTCATAGTAACTCTTGCAAAAAATTTAATTGGGACGTTGCTTAACTTAAAGGATAGCTCATATTTCCAAATTCAGCTTTCATTGTTTGTTGCTTGAATTACTGGGGCATTTTTTGTCCGAAATCTCTAGCCCTTATTGACACTTTTGGTCAATTTTGTTGTCTAGGCTTTTGCCATTTCTATTCTCCCTGCTTTCTTGACATTTGCAGGAAAGCTGTTTACTTGTTATATGCATGTGCTTGTCTCATATATACATATATAAGAATATGAAACCGGTTTAACATTAAGTGAAGGACATTTGCTAGAATACTACTGTTCCCATGACATTACGAAATAGCCCTTTTGATTTTTAATCCTGGGAAAGCACTCAAATAAAGCAATTAACAGATTTAAGTCATTATGAGTCATACTGTTTTTTAAAACCTGTATGCGTTATATCAATTCACCTTAGAAATGTGCTTTGCTTGAACATTTCTTGTCATTCAAATTCAATAACTTTACCTCCAAATTCGTAGAGATAAAGTTTCCCTCCCTAATATTCAAGGTCTACTGGTTAGTTAATTTGATTTCATGATTCGGTCCTAATACCTCGGTTCATTTATATTTCAATTCAGCTAAGAACAAGAGATTTGCTAAACGTCAAGGTTAACCAGATTACTCCGAAAGTTAACTCTAATAAGTGGTAGGTAATTAATCTGATTAACTGTGCTTAATTGTAATTTCAAAGGAGTGCTATCTAACGCCTCTCTAGTTAGCCTTTTATGGTTACTTTCAAGAAATTTAAAAAGGCAATTTTAGCTCTTACTTTGAAAATGCCCTTTTCGTAGCTGAGGGTTTGCATTTCATCTGTCCTGATCGGATTCAGCTTAAAATTGGGATATCATTGCATTACCAATAGTCTGACGACTGTCGATTTAACTAACTCCACTTCTCTCAATTATCTTATTCTTCTCAGTAAATTGTCAATCATCAGATAATCTCTAACTTAACGATGTTGTAAAAATGTTCGCAGTATCCATCTCCGTTATCTGTCTTATTCACTTTACTACTGTTACGTAAAGTGTCACGCTTGAGTACATTTTCGGTTTTGGGCTTCAATATTTATTTATTTCAAATGGCAGGCATTATGATAGGTATCATTAGCCCTTTAGTTGACTTCGGGCTACACAGAGGGGAGGAGGAACATCCAACTGGTAAAAAGTCGAGAGGGGGAAGAATAATGATTCACAGACGTAAAAGAGACAGACGGACACAAAGGTAGAGAAAAAGGTGAGGTGAATACTGTGGAATTATTCGAATATGAAATTCAATAGCGTCATGGTAGTTTGAAGTCCGAAGTCAACTGCCGATTTATAGACTTTTTTGCCGTATGAGTATACGTTGCCCAGGGTGCACCACGTGGAGGTAAGTCTATCGCACACCCCGGGCTTCAATATTGAGGTGAGGGAATTTGAATTGCCAATCCTCCGCATTATTTGGTACCCAACCCTACTAAAATGCTTCAGTAGAACTTAATCTAATCTTGAAAAAATCAAATTGTGCGAATTATCGATCCTCTAATAAAGTGGTATAAAAATCTATAACTCTTTTAAGGTTTTGTCGCTCCCTAAATGGGATTGGTTCAAGATTTATGGTTGGTGTGATTTTGGTGTCGAAAATAGGCATTGTCATTTGCGATAATTGCGCATAGATGTTACTCTACAATTTATTAATTAATGGTTGTTTGATTTCTCCCAATTTAAATGAATTTTAACGGATTTTTTGAGGGAAATCATATCACAGAAACTTAAAATTGAGTGCTAGTCTCTTTGTCCATGAAATATTTGAATATTTGTAAATTATACATCTTTGTCTATGATTACTAAGGGTAGTTGGAGTTTGGTGCATTTGTCATGCCTTTGTAATGGTAGTTTAGAACATTGTCACTTTCTTTTATTTACTTATTTTTTTATTGAATAATTTTTTAGTCATGGCTGTATTGTCTTTAGCCGTTTTTGTTAATGCCAATAATGTTCTAATGCTCCAATAATACAATATGATTTTGGAAAAATGAAATAGACGTTAAATGCCAGTTATTTTTTTCAATTGCTGAGCCCATTGAACAGAGCAACAGTTGTCTTATGAGGTCTCGCTTTTATGAATCAAGCTTGTCATTCCTTTTAATACTTGTGGACTCGCAGGTGTCGAACTCATGATTTTCATATTTGCAATCTTGTATATGCTGACCGATAAGAGTGCTTAAAATTCATGTATTCTTATTTTTTTCTGTGTCACGAGGTTAGGGGATAGGCTTGCAGAAACAGGTAAAACCTATTTGAAATCTTTCAGTCCAGTAAAAGTCGGCAGATTGGTGTTGGAAGAAGTGTTCTTCTTGCCAGCCAACTTTTTTGGGGGGCATATTTCCACTCGTCAAAGTGGGTTTTATTGAACGAAGGACGTCGAATTGGTATTGTTTGTAATTGCTATGTTAAGTTTATTTTTTTACGAAGATTGTTAAACCTGATTGGTTAATGAACGAGGCACTTCTCTTTTCCCCTAACGTGGAAAATTTAGACATAGTTTTGAGAAGAGCGTTGCATCCTCAACAATCCTTCTACTTAAGCACTAAATCGGTCTTGATATCTTTTCGTAAGTTTATCTCCGTAAGTACGTTCACATGTTGAGAACTCTTTGCGTTCCTTCTACTTACCAATTTTCTTTTTGTTAGCATAGTAGTATTCTTTTTCTCTTTGTCTTCCAATTTTATTCTCGTTCATTATTTGCCTTTTCGATTAAGTAAGTCTGGTAGGGCTTTCATCTGAGATTAGCATTTTAAGAGTCTAATCTCAGAAGGTGAGGCAAATAGCTCAATGATTAGAAGCCAAATAAACTCTCTTACTTGACTTCAAGTCTAGTGACCAGGGTGGATCTAAGGTTGAAATATTGATGATGGAGTTGGGGGGGGGGGGGGCTTATAAGTATTTTGGAAATTTATAAGCAAATTGTCAATGATGACCCATTTTGAGCAATCAATCTAAATTATAATGGCTTCATTCTCTCAAAATCATGTCGCACTCTCTTCATTAACTGCTTTTTCCATAAGCAATATGTGCCAATATGTGCTAATTCAATTTGCTTAGAATGGTGACATCAAGTTTAATGCATCTGTCTGCAAAGTTAGAGGTCACTTGTCCATACGATGGTTAAATGAATATGCTCTCCACCGCAGACTTCAACAATACTTACCCCTTAAACTAACGTTTCTTTAAGTTACTGGAAGAAGTCACGTGAATATTTCAAAATGTGCGTGAACTGTCATTCGCTTTGTCACAGATTGGCAATTGTGTTAAAATCGTAAGAGACTTGCATATTACTTCCATAACAAATGACTGAATTGATAAAACGGAGTGCAAGAGGAGGTCGATATAGTCAAATCACCATGTCTTAGAGCGTTCATCGTGAAGTTTGACTTCGAGAACTTGAATATTTTGATCCTAAGTTATTGCTCTTCCCGTCTATCTACTATGGATATTAAGAAAATAGCAATAAATTGACCACCCTCGACAAGACATTAAATAAACTGAATTACGATGACATAATTGAATTAATGAAACTCTCAGCTAAATAATTAGATTTAGGTATAAGACATGTCGTATAGAACTAAGCCCCTTATGAGAAAGTAGACGACACAATGTTTCCATAAATCAAATAGACCTAGGTGTATTCTTGCCTACTTCTTAACTCCTCAATTTCATATTCTATTAAACTCCTTTTTCTGCACTCCCTTCCAAAATTCCATCCTCCGATAAAAATTTAAAAAATCATTTTTGTTTTTTTTTGATGTTGGCTTCGGAAACTTGAATTACAGCCTATTAAGAAGTTTTAAAGAATATCATTCTATTATTTAAAGCCAATTAAATTATGTTAAATAATGATGCATTTTTTGGTTGATCGTGCCAAATCTGATGGAATATCGTGTTCAAGTGGTAATTATTTTAAGAACTGACAACTCGAGTCCAAAAATCAACTGTGGTGGGGCTCTCTGCTACCTCGACTTTGACCCTCGTATTTTTGATTTCCCTCTCTGGTTATTCCATACTAATTGCTTTCTTCACTTAAAATCGTTAAAAAAAATAACTGTTATTACCTTTGGCAGTAATGATAATGACAAAGAGCCGAACGAGAAAGCACTGTTTTTTTAGCCGAATTATTGAATACAATGTTTGTCGAGGAAGTTTACTTAAATGTCTTATAAGTAGTTTAATGTCTCAACAGGAATTTCTACCCGCGCCTAGTCAGCAACGCATTCGCAGCGTTATAAGACACAATGAGGTAATTTATCGGTGAATAATTGCAGTGATTAGTAATTTCTTTCATTGGTTTCCAATCCATCTTATTATAATTGCCATGATTGTTATTTGCTTAAACTCTAATTCCCCAAACTATGCACTTTCCATCCCATTCACCGTGATCCCGGTTGTAATAATCGTCTTCCTCATCACACTCACCTAAGTCCTTACTTATATGAATAATATATATTCCAATGTAGATATATGTAATATGTAATATGCCTTGCTTCAGCTAATTCGACGAGTTTTCAAGGGGATTCCTCCTCGCATTCGCCCTCGAGTTTGGCCAATCCTACTCAACGTGGCGTCAGCTAAAAAGGATCGAGTCTATGATGTGAGTTTTTTGCCTTACTCCTGTGTGTTTGCTTAATTAGATGCACGAACCACAATGACACTAACGCTCGGGTATGTATGTATGTAAATAAGCCTTGATTCGTGTTTTGCTCACAATACTGAGTCATTTTAGTTAAATAAATATCTCATCCGGTTGTCTTTACCTTCACAGCTATTGCGATGCCATGATTTTTTCCCTATTGAAGTCGAAAGAGGATATGTGATTTTTTAAGCCAATTCAATGGGGAAATCTTGTCTAATTTGCGAAAAGGACTTATTAATTATGGGACAATCAGTGAACAACTTTCAGTCGGAAAACTAATTTACTCACAGATAGAGAGTGGAATAAGATCTCTGTAGATCGAACTGCTTATAAACTTTGACCTTTGGGCACGTTGAAAACGTCTGAAGGAAATTGGAATTACTAGAACAACGGGGGTGGGGTGGTGGACGTAGGACTTTCTGGACTAATTTCAGTTTATTTACCATCCGGAATTTGACAGAATTTTCACGCGAGCTTTAATTGGATTTTATTAAGCAGGGGAGTTAAATAGGCCTCTTCTCAATTCTCCTATTTTATTGTAATTGAATTAAAAATAAAATATTTTCTTCGTGTGAGTATGTGTGTGTGTGCGTGTGTGTTTAAATAATTTCGTCTGTCTGTCAAATGCTTGGTAAAGTTTTGTTGATGAACAAGTGAATTGCTATGGAATGTGATCATTAGCTTCAGCGGCAATTAATGTTTATGACTTCAAATAAGTCGTTGGTACCATTGACCATTGTTTCTCAAGGCTGGACGCTCAGTTGGGCGGCGGGGGGGGGGTTGTTTAAAAATGTTAATGAGGATGAGGGTGAAGAGTGCCGGGGGGGGGATGTAATAACGATATTTGAGTTTTCAACCGCAAATTCAAGTGCTTTTGAAACTCCTAATTGGGAGCTATCGTCGACTTTAAAGGCTATTAATTGCCTTCTTAATTCGCTATCACTTTCCATTGTGTTTTCCTCTTGATTTATCGAGTTTTCACTGCCCTTTTTTGTAAAAGTCCTAAGGCCCTGTCTTCCTGTAGATGTTTTAGAACTTACAGAAAGTAAGGTCGGTTGAACTGTGACTTATTGAAGTGCTATCCCCAACTCTCTTGCGCGTAATCGAAGTATTTATATTTTCAGCGGATCATTTCGAGGTTTCTTTGCCAACAGGATGTATTCATTCACCCAAGTACTAAAACGCAAATAAATAGAAATCAATTTTACCAGCACTCATTTCTTCCTAATTCCTTTTTATGTGTGCTATTTTCCCTCAGTAGGAAGCATTGCTTGGAACTTTTTATGGACATCGATTTCTGTTCTCTGCTACACGTTTTGAATTGTGTTAGAATTAAGAAAAGAGATTTTCCCCGCTGTGTATGAAACAGGGTTTTCGAACCACTCCATTTATCCATTGGACAAATTTGTCTTATCATATCATATTTATTCAAGTAGAAAGAACGTTGGTTTTGTGTTGCGTTAGCGATGCAGATGAATGACAATCGATTAAATAGATAAATGCTGTCTTCAGTATATGCCAATTCCCACTAGTATTCACATGAAGACCAAGTGAGCCATTCTCCCGTTGATATTCGCCATTTTGCGGTTCTAAACCGCAGGTAAGGAATGTGCAACCTACACACTGTTGTTACTAAGATGATTAGTCAGCTTCTATCTGCATTGATCCACACCCCCGCTGCAAAATAAGTCGGGGCGTTGTTTTGAAAGGTATTCTACTGTTGCTCAGATCGCAGGGAGGGGGGAGGGGATAGGGGTGTAGAAGCATTGATTTAACCAGACAGAGTCTATTAATCACACTCTACCAGGACAGACCATACTGTTTGATTTTATTTAAAAATGCACTAGTTCACTTAGAATTTAGCTTGGTAGGTAAGTAATTGACCGGAAAAGATTTAACCAACCATTGGCCTTCAACGTGTGAATGTGCCAACATGATTGGTCCACAATGGACCAATTGTTGATTGATGGGTGAATTCGTCATTCATCAGCCTGGTGATGCATTTCTTGTGCACGGAAAGAATAGTTTTGTCTTCATATGGGTTTCTTTCCTTTTTTTCTAAGCATTAGCTTAAAACTGAACCAGAATTTGTCTTGATTTCATTACATGAATAGATTGTATCCATGTGTACTAATTTTAGTTAAGATAACATAAATTTCTGACTTGATTATCTTTATATAGTTCAATATATTCAATACATTAAAAAATATGGCAGTTGATTTATCATCTTTTATTCTTAAGAATTCCATCTTTTTAAATTAAAGGAGTTTATCTTCCAGCCTCATTATTCTCATATTACATCTAACTTTTCGTTTCTTTCATGAACTACTGTTAATATTTTCTTCGACTCTTGATCTATCGATCAATGAAAATGACAAAATAAGTAGACGATTATCAGATTTATTAACATGCGCTTTCAGATTTGCTGTGCAACTGTTTGGTTCGCCTTTTAGTTTCAGTTGCCTTGTTTGAGTCCTTTGTTTTAATTTACTCGTTTTACTAGGTATCAAATCGACCCCGATTTCGAAAAATCACTTTCCTTTTTTTGTGGAAAAATTTCGATGGTATGATGGATGGAAATAGGTTGTTGTAATACGACTTAGGCGTGATTTGTGCTTGAAATCTCCGTTTCATGTTCTTCCTAATCTTTCTTTGTTTCTATGTTTATTTAAATAGAGAGGGAGGGAGAGAGAGACTTGGGACACCTATTTTTATTAGTTCCAGTTGCACAAATTCAAAAAATGCCACCCTGAGTTTATAACAGTGATAAGACTTGGACCCGGAACTTGGGGGAGACGCATACACATGTCAAATTAAATGTTTCTTCAAGGGGAAAATAAGTGAATTTCCACCTTAAAATGGATAGAGGTTGCTTAATATTTTATTATCGATTTTTCTTGCGGTTTTTTCAGATTAATTTTTTATTCTGTTGGGTGAAAAGTAGACTTGATAGCTGATTTTCAAGAAAGAAAATTTGTGCCTGCTTCTATTTTCATTAAAGTGCTTGAATTTCTTTGAACTTATCTAACATGCATAACTCTCATTAAATCTAATTGAATATATATAAGTCAAAATTGAATGTCAAATTCAAAAGGTTATTTTTTTGCTAAAAAATGTATTGCTTTTTCGATGTTTCTCAGGCCTGACATGAATCTCGTCTTCATTGGTTTATATCGTTCCAACAGGGTTACTTTTTCCCTCCCGCAGTGGTTCACACGATCCAGTTTTGGGGAAAAAGTTATAATTTTAGAAATTTGTGGGCATGTTGAAGATATTTTACCTACATTTTCCATGTGCTGGTGCTTCGCTTCGGTAACCATCCTATTTTATGTGTCTTCGCCAGTTTTAAATCGCATAGTTTAAATATTTATTGCAGAATAAACGTCTTTGATTAATTAAAAGAGAGGGAAGCTTTTCACCAACTTTATCAGACCCTTTGTTACTTCAAGAAGGTGATTATTAAGTAGTGCTGTTTATCACTTGGCCTTATGAGCAAGACTCTGAAACTAATCTAAGGGAGGAATAGTTCTTATAGCTCTTGAGAGAAAGAGAGAAAGGTAAGGGGAATGGAAGAGCAGACAATAGATGGTGGACCAAGTTAACAAGTACTTTCTAACTGAGTTGATAAGATTGCTGACCTCTTCTACTTCCAATTTATCAGTAGGAATGTGTCTGATAGCATATATATCTTTTATTTTTGAAAAGAATTTTGTTTTTTAATGATTACTCATAACGAAAATACGGCTTTATTACATCTTGCAGTAGGTGCGAAATGCTTCAATGTTTCCATTCTTCTATGGGCACTTCGGTTGTCTTTTTATTCTCGACCTCGGGAGTAGAAAGTAAAGCTGTCATTTTTTCACGACAGTTTGATGTTATCATTTGTTTATTTATATCAAATGGCAGGCGTTTTGATAGTT